TGTGTGTGTGTGTGTGTGTGTGTGTGTGTGTGTGTGAGAGAGAGAGAGTTCATGTTTGCACAGAGGCAAGGAGAGACCATCAGATCCTCTGGAGCTGGAGTTACAGACAGTGGCATGGGTACTAGGAACCAAACTGATGCAAGAGCAGCAAATGCTCTTAACTATTGAGCCACCTCTCCAGCATCTCCATGCCTATCTTTTAAGCCGCCCTGTCCACTATGAGGTTTTGTTATAACAGCCTGAACAAAGACTCACAGTGGCAAGAGAGCAAGCCAGAGAGAGTGATTATGGCCAAGGGAGCAGTAAGTGCAAAGGTCCTGAGGTTTGCCTGCTGTGGTCAGGGAGCAAAGGTGGCAGGAGAATGGAGGGTATGGATGGAGCCAGAAGCCACTCTGAGGACTTTGGCTTTCCCCGGGAGTCAGAAAGGGAGCAGTGGGGTATTCTGAACAGAGAGGTGATCCGACAGCACTCTAAGTGGACACTGCTGCAGAATTCAAGAGTGAAGAGATACCATTTATAGAGCATCTACATCATCACCTGCGACAGGCATGGTGCCATGCCCTTCAATGACATCTGAGCATTATATAATTGGAACCACCCTCCGTGCCAACTGAGATTATTTCTTCTGTTATTGAAAGGAAACTGATTCTCAAGGCAGATGAGGAAATGTACTTAGATTAACAGTGAACTGGCAGATTTACCTGGCCTTCTGGGCTCCTTCACCTCCCCCATAACCCCTGGCACTGCCTTGTGCATACAGCAAGCACTCAATAAAGGTTCACTGGCCAGGTTACAAAGCAGTGTCCTGGGGGGGGCATGGGCACCTATGGCATGAAAGAGTAGCATTCACTTTGGGCACAGAGAGGCCATGTGGCACACCAGGGCACTTACTGAGCTCGGCGATGCTGCCCACCCGCGTGGCCAGCAGGGACTGCTCGATGGTCCTCAGCTCCGACTGGCTGAACATGGGCAGCTCTCCTGGCTTGCTGGGCCGCTGCGGGTCTCTGTGCAGGTTTAGGCTCTCTGGCAGGCTCAGCACCCCTGCAGTGAGGAGAGGCAGAGAGGAGAGGTCAGCAGGCGGTTACTTTTTAGTTTACCAAGGGAGGGATGTCAAACCTCATACTGTGCTGGAAGGCAACATGGGAAGCCACACTCTGGATGCCTCCTCCCCACTTTTGAGACTGGCTTTTTTGTAGACCAGGTTGGCCTCATACCCACTATGTAGCCAAGGATGACCTTGAACTTCTGATCCTCCTGCCCCTACCTCCCAAGTGCTGGGACTACAGGTGTATACAACCACGTTTGGTTTATGCAGTGCTGGGAGTTGAACCCAGGGCTCCACCCATGCTAGGTAAGTGGAAACCAACTGAGCTTTATCTCCAGCCCTGGACCCCTTTCAGACATGGATGTCCTGATATCTTAGAAGGTCTCAAAGCCTGACCTGTTGATTTTAACAAACACAAGAGCATTTGTCTGGATACCCACATTTCCAAAGGTCATGAAACAGAAGTGTCCCCTCTAGCCTGATAGGGACTCTATCTGCTCAGAGATGCTTCTCATGAGTTCAGGGGTCACTGCCTCATCTTCCCTCCCAGAGGCAGCTCGAAGGATGGTGGGGGATGGTCTTTGCCGTCGGTGGCTTCTGAGGACTTCCTTTATTGGTCCAATAAATGTAACTGTGAGTGGCTGGGCTGCGATATGTTAGGCAAGGCCTCTGGCTTTCTCTGCAGAGATGTATGTCAGGGGGTAGAAACCCCAGGGGCTTCAACAGTGAATGGCCATGGAAATCCCCAGAACCCAGTTCTCATCCCTTTTTTTCAGTTCTGTAAATATTTAGTGAGGACCTAAAATCTTACTCAAAGTCAGTCACTCACCCCTCAGCATCCTGGGAGGAATCAGTGTCTGACCTTGCTTCTTGACCTTCAAGCTTGATTAACTGACTTACTTTGGTAAGTCATAAACATGTGTTAATGGGCATGATAGAATCAGAGGTCTGAAAAGTGCTTGTGAGACTGCACTTACTATTTTACGCTCTGCCCTTGTCATGAGCAAAACATGCCCTGGTGCTGGAGAGATGGCTCAGTGGTTAAGAGCACTGACTGCTCTTATAGAAGACCCAGGTTTGATTCCCAGCACCCACATGGCGGCTAACAACCATCTGTAACTCCAGTTTCAGGGGAATTTGACACCTTCTTCTGACCTCCCTGGGCAGTGCATGACATGGGTGTATTTACACACATGCAGGCAATACACTCACACACATAATGAATGAATGAATGAATGAATGAATGAATGAATTGATAAATAAGTATTTTAAAAACATGCCCTGGTTAGTCTGCTGGCCTCAGGAAGCCATGAACCACATGAAGTAATGCCTTTAATCCCAGCACTTGGGAGGCAGAGGCAGGCGGATCTCTGTG